TCGTGGTCACCGTCAATGGCCTCATCGGAAGGTTTCGCCTCTCCTTTTTGTAAAGTTTGGATTTTTTTTTGTCATTTTGCTTTTTCATTTCCCAGCATTAAATTTTCTGAGGATGGATTGGATCAGCTCGTAGAATTAGGAATAGGAGATTGCAGATTCAGGTGGGGCCCAGTGGGTCTCCTCCTGTGGTCCTCACCGTCAATGGCCTCATCCGCATGAATTACTTTTTATGGTTTTATGCAAAAGTTGAAATTGGGTGCAATATATGAAGTAGATTATAGGTAATTGTAATGGTTAAAGCAATTTTCTTGCTTAGGCTTTTATAATGGTTGTAAAGTAGTTTATAATTTTCTGCAGTGATGAATTATGTATCCTGATAGTATTCAAAATGGTTTGTTAGTTCAAGGAAAAATTGGCTTATACGTGAATACTGTAATCTTCATGAATAATACTCTCTAATATTACCATGACATGATCTGTATCAATTCTTTTGAGCCAGTATGCATAAATTTCAAGTACGATCACTAAATTGAGACTAAACATGGTGGCTGCAGCATTGCTCAATTGGGAAGTTCATGTAATTATTTGTTACTTTGGTACTGCATGAGACTAAAATGTAGGTGTGTGATAAAATATTACTTCTTTGGATGTTTGTTACGCAAATATTCTCTCTTTAGTTCTGTAGACTAAGCATGCTCATATAGAAAACTCTCATTTGGAGATTACATGTTCTGGATTTATGGAAAGATTGCCACACATCTGTTCTTGATCTTCAAACAACGACTGGAAGGTGACCACACCGTTGATATGGTGAGAAGCCCCCGCATGTCACCACACAACTACCGCGTTAACATGTATTCGAATGGAGTAGATGACGGCTCAGGTGTTCCACATTTCTCTCTGTCTCACAACTTCATCTAATGTGAAGCTTATATTTATATAGGGTTAGAAGCTGACCCCCACAATTGTGCCGTACTGGGTCACCCGCCCACTTATTTGGTAGGCCCCATTTACTGGCACCCCGAAGATCTTTCTTATGTTGGCAGTCCTTGCAAAATGTAGGTTTCTTGTATTTATACAAGGATGCTTGAACATGGGTATGGTCTAGGTCGTAAGTAAACAAAACTCAGATTTCTTTGAAGACTAATTCTTGGAAGGTGTTGATATTGTTGCAGAGTTTTGAGAATGTGATTCTATTTAACTCTCTTACTCATCTATTTCAAATGTAGAACATGAGCATAGACACATGCATTGCCATAAAAGAATGTTTACTGCCCACCAAGTCAACATCAAAGCTTTTATAACAGACTTTTCAGTGTTGATGTCATATTGGTGCAAATTGTAGAAGTTTCATTGGCATATCTGTTGGCTTCTTTCTACAGGGCTAAATTATCAGATTGATATTAAAATAGCATCTAATAACCAGATTTGTATTAAAAGTAATTCCGGCTAATAACCAGATTTGTATTAAAAGTAATTCCGGCGACGATAAGGTACTTAAACTTGCACGACGTGACAAATTGACCTAAAAATAAATTTTCCGGCCAAATTTTCCGTCGACCAGTCACGTAATCTGACATGAGGTGCTTATGAGGTGTATTTGCGATGATGTGGCAGCTGTAGTTAGCCTAATTCAAACCATTAGGGGATTATTTTCAAATTAGTGTAAAAGAAAAGAGGAAGTTTTTAATTTTTTAGGGGCTTCTTCTCCTTCTTCTATTAAATCGGTGTTCTCCATTGCCAGAGAACATGGATTCTTTGAGCTCAAGTAATGAAGAACCCCCAATTTGAAGGAAGAAGGAGAAAAAGTCCAAAATTAAGAACACAAATATATAAAAAGTCACAAATTAAGAAAAAAATATTTTCTTTTACTCTAATTTCAAAATTCCTCCTTCTAATGGTTCATTGAAATTAACTACAGTTGCCACATCTTCATAAATATGTCCCCTAAGCATACGTGGTAGGTTGCTGAGTGGTCGCAGGAAATGGCCGGAACATTTAATTTTGAACCTATTTGTCTCGTCGTGCAAGTTTAAAATACCTTATCGTCGCCAGAATTACTTTTAATACCAATCTAGTTATTAGGTGCTATTTTTAATATCAATTAGGTAATTTAGCCCTTCCTACAACTTACTATTAATGGCAGCTGGATTCAAAATTCTTAGTTTTTGTTTGTAACTTTGTGGTAAAATTTGGGCATTGGTATTGCTAGAGCTATAAAGCATATAATCTCTCTAGGTTCTGATTTTGTTTATGCATTACTTGCAGTGCTGCAAATTGGAGATTTGCTGCAAAGCAATTTGTGAAAAAGTACCCCGAAGATATTGTTGTCCACTGTGAGTTCTTCTATCTTTTACTTTTGTGATATGCATTTGAGAGTAAAAACATTTTTTCGAGATTGGAAATAAGAAGTTTCTTAATGACTGTTTTATATACTTATCTGATGATTCCATTTTTCGGTCAATCATCTGTGACAATGTAATTTCTTAAATGCTTGTCACGATTTACAAACAATTAAGGAATGCTTGTTACAAGCATTAAAGATTAGTCAAAGGCTCTCTGTGATTAAGAGAAGCTAACTTTTAATTGAGTTGACGTTAATTCACGCTATTGACAGATGTGTATGCACTATGGTCAAGCTGTATTTGCCTTGAAATATATGTTATTATTTGGGATAAGATGGATTATACCTTTTTTGATATATGCAGCACCAAATAAGTGGGCGGATGACCCAGTACGGCCCACCCAAATAAGTGGGCAGGTGACCCTGTACGGCCAATTAACTACAAATCAGATAGACATTTTTGAGAATTGCAGGAACCTGATTTGGAGATCATCATTGTCTATGCAACTTAGCTGATATACTATTCTGTGAACCACGTTCTGATGCCTTTGAATAATACTAGTCGAGTAGGTTTCATGAGCTATCCGTAGGAAGATTGTGTGTAAAATTTCAAATCGTCTTTCAAACTAAATCTTAAAATAATAGGTACGAAATATGAACTATGAAGGAAGGGATTATGGCCACACTAATATAATTATGTAAAGAAGAAAGATAATTTCCCGAGCTTCTAATCAAGATAGCACATTTTACAGTTAAAATTGGATGCATTACCTACCGTAACCTAAAATCAAGATGGTAACACGATCATCCTAATTTGAATGGTGAAGGGAGGATTTGAGGATTCACAAGACTTACTATATAGTTCATGTTGATTTAGGAAACAAGAGAAGGTGAATCTGTCGTTTGGGATAATTTTGAGCAATATATCCAATTATTTTCTGTTTGTTTCTTAAAATGCTCTTGGTGTACTTTGCAGGCAGTGAATCTAATTATTCAAGCTTGACCTTCGATGGTGTTGATGTAATGGGAGAGAGACTTGCAAAAGAGGTGGATAATATTCCTCATCTAAAATCCAAGTGTTTCTGATTCCTTCTAGCTATCTCTGTAGAATTATATTCAATTATGACTTATGTTACAAAGTACAAACCTACAATATTATACCCTTTGTACATGAGTTTTTGATTTGATTTAGCGCTGTAAGAAAATTGCTGTTTCTCATTATTGTTGCTTTCTGTAACTGAACTTTTACAAATGAGAGAGATTGGTGGGTGTGAATACAGGTGGTATCAGTTGTTGCACATAGGCCAGAGCTTCGGAAGATCTCTTTTCTAAGTCATTCACTAGGTGGCGTGGTAGCAAGATATGCAATTGCTAGACTGTACACACAAAATGATGAAAGGAGTTTTCCTGAAGAAAGTGGAGATTGTAAGACTTGTAATTCTGGAATTCACTGTTTAGAATACAAACTGAAAGGCAAAATAGCAGGGCTTGAGCCTGTTAATTTTATAACCTTTGCAACACCTCACCTTGGCTCAAGGTTTCACAAGCAGGTCAGTGCCAAACCATTTGTCTTCATATATGCCGTTTCTACATGCCACTTATCTTGTTTCTTTATCTTGGACCTTGTCCTTTTCAAATGACTGCAGGTGCAACAAACTCTACTAATAATTGCATCTAAATAACGTGTGAAAGCTACTTCCACACACTCATGAATCTGCAATTGCATGTGTCTTCTGCATTAAAATATCTTTATTTGGCTTCCTGTTACTGATATTTTCTTATTTACTTGTCTTAATCAGATGACTGTTTCATCTTTAAAAATTCAAGTTCTTTGAGTTCTTCTAGAAAAGCATCTTGTATCTTCTTGAAACGTTTTCTAGGCCTACATATTTCCTTTTTACTTCTCCTTTTCGCAAGTGATTGCTTTGGATGTTGCTCACTAGGGATTCGAGATTAAACTTTTTTAGCTCATGGTTACTTCTGTTTTGATGATACAGTGGCATTACAAAGCTAAAAAGTGAATTAACACAATGAAACAGCTGCCTATTGTGTAAATCAATCTAGTCTATTATGTTTCCTTTCCTTTTCTTGGGAGTTGGTAGGAATATTTTTCTTAGCTCCTTCTGGAAATTCAGAGAAAGTTGTTAGTAAAAAGATGCAGGAAGATAATTGTTTTTTAATCTTTTTCTTTGTCCAATTGAGTTCTACATCTTCATCTTCCTTATCATTGACTTGTTGAATAAATTAGTCAATATACAGAGTATCTCAATATGGACATAAGCTTACCATCATGTGCCCTCATTTTTTTCACCTGCTTTTTCAATATTTAAACAATTTTATGCAATCAAAATTTATTTTAATCTGTACATTCTCTTAATTTGGTAATCCTATGTATTGTTGTTTGTGACTGTGATGTTAGTTTACTATACTAACTGTGTTCTCAGGCTTTTCAACTTTTCTCAGTTATATTAATAAATACAGATACAAGTACACATGCATTCGCAAACATGAACACACACCACTCATGAGTCATGAGAATACATGTTCAATACTGGAAAATGTTCATGTAAAGCACTAAAATTCTTCTTCAATAAAAAGAAAATCATTGGACTTTAATATAGTAGGTGTGCTTTCTACATCATTTATTTTCACTGATTGGCATTTATGTATTTTGGTTGGCTTTTCCTTCTTTATTCTTTTGAGAATGATCTTCTGATTCCACTTTTCATTAGACTATTATGTACTAGGTGGCACCGATACAGATGCGGACATGGACACAGACACAGTTACTAGCATGAGACATGACAAACTTGTAAAATGTAGGATACGGGACACGGATATATAATCTATGTGTGTGTGTGTGTTACACGGATATGAGGACATGGCTGTATACATACATATTAAAACTAATAATCTATGTGTGTGTGTGTTACACGGATACGAGGGCATGTGTGTGTGTGTGTGTGTGTGTGTGTGTGTGTGTGTGTTACACGGATACGAGAGCAGACATGGCTGTATACATACATATTAAAACTAATAATCTATGTGTGTGTGTGTGTTACACGGATATGAGGACATGGCTGTATACATACATATTAAAACTAATAATCTATGTGTGTGTGTGTTACACGGATACGAGGGCAGACATGGACACGAACACGGTTTGGATACGGGACACGACAAAAATTGCTAGAAGTTAGGATATGAGGACATGGCTGTATACATACATATTAAAACTAATAATCTATGTGTGTGTGTGTGTTACACGGATATGAGGACATGGCTGTATACATACATATTAAAACTAATAATCTATGTGTGTGTGTGTGTTACACGGATATGAGGACATGGCTGTATACATACATATTAAAACTAATAATCTATGTGTGTGTGTGTTACACGGATACGAGGGCATGTGTGTGTGTGTGTGTGTGTGTGTGTGTGTGTGTGTGTTACACGGATACGAGAGCAGACATGGCTGTATACATACATATTAAAACTAATAATCTATGTGTGTGTGTGTGTTACACGGATATGAGGACATGGCTGTATACATACATATTAAAACTAATAATCTATGTGTGTGTGTGTTACACGGATACGAGGGCAGACATGGACACGAACACGGTTTGGATACGGGACACGACAAAAATTGCTAGAAGTTAGGATATGAGGACATGGCTGTATACATACATATTAAAACTAATAATCTACATGAGACCAATATTGTTTTTCGTTCCAATGTTATGAGAACTAAAATCTTTATACCATTTTTATATTTCTTTTATCGAGTAGATTATAAATTGAAAAACTGATCGTTATTGAACTAGATACCCAAACAACCCTTTATAGTCATACTTATGAACTAGGTATGTGCTAAACGAATGTGCCCCGAGTTCAATGGGTAGCAGAATTTGACGTGAAATGTGCGATATACATTCAAGTGCCACAAGTATTTGGAACTAAAGCATTGTTATGTAATTGAGTATAGAAGATGTCTGTATATATTCAATAAGTGTCCAAAGGAGTGTTGGACACATACGCAGATACGAACACTGATATGAGAGCCTAGATGAAGTGTTCGGGTAACGCGCACACACATATTGCATGGGATAATACGATGGGTATTTTTTAAAAATTTAAGTAATGAGTTTCAATTTTCGGGTCCAAAAACTGATTGGTTTTGAACCCAATATTACCAAATAAACTAGTTTAGGGTGTTAGTAATAGGGAAATTAGGTTTTGCTCTGAACCACACGTGTCTATGGCGTGTCTGCGGAGAATCCATGTCCAACACTTGTTGGACATGGACACATCATCCAAAATGCGACCGTGTCCGAGTAACCTAGATCATGCACAATTCATTGACATGTTACACGTGTATGGATACTCATTAATATAACAATAGAACGAAACTGCAGAATTAATTACCTAGCATCATGCAGTGTTTTTTCAGCCAGTTGATTAATTCATCAGTACTCCAACATCTTGATGGACTTTATGTCCTTGTTTTCTTTCATTATCTAAGGTGAATATGGTGACATTCATTCTTTTCATAGTTACTGTATTTATTTATATTGAATACTAAGATGTTTATCTTTCTTTGTTAGAAAATTTCACATTTTACCTCTGCTAAGATAGATGTTTATTCTCCCATTACATTACTGTAGATTGGATTCCTTTTTGTGAGTTAAAGTCTGTGGATTGGATAACTTACGCTGCTCCTGTGTGAACTTGCCAATTACATGATACTTGCATGTTTGATTTACTGAGAATGACAATGTATAGTGTATGCAGATGCCAATTCTTCGTGGTTCTGCAGCATTAGAAAAGGTGGCATGTCGCATTTCATGGATCGCTGGGAGAACAGGGAAACAACTCTTCCTCAAAGATCATGATGACGGAAAACCTCCTCTTCTCCTTCAAATGGTCTATGATAATGAAGACCTCCAATTCATGTGGGTCTTTATGACTCATGAATCTTTATTCCCAATCATTTTGCTCGGGAGACTTGTTTCATTATTTATTTTTAATTTATTTTCAGGTCTGCGTTGCAATGTTTTAACCGCCGTGTTGCTTACTCAAATGTCTGTTTTGACTGTATCCTTTTTGGAAAATGTGTCCTGAGAAGTGATTCTTTTTTCCGGAATAGTGAGATTTATATTTTTGTTGACGCTTAACTCATTTTAGTCGCTGTTGGATGGAAGACATCGTCGATACGTAGTCAGCCTGAGTTACCAAAGGTAAACAATGAGTTGTTACTTTAAATTTTAAATCTGTAATGCTTTCATGGATACATTATTTCTTTTGATGCAGCGCCAAAACTTTATGAAGAACGAGAGGTATCCACACATTGTGTATGAGGAGGAAGCGAAGGTTGATACTTTAGAACACGAAGACATTGTTGAGTCAATTGTTTCTCGACCAATGACTACAGCGGAGATGGAAGGTTGTTGTCCCATCTTATTGTTGATTGACATAATAGTATTGTAGAATGTAGACATAGAATATTGTTGCTGACTTGCTGTAGAAAAATAAGAGAACTTTGCCTGACCTTTTTCTTACTTGTTGCTTGCCTACACTAATGGATTCAACAGAATGAACGATATTAAATTTGTTTCTCTTGGAAACTTATCTGCTAAAACTTTTCTCTTTGACCTTGCATTTCTTTATTACTTGACTGTTGTGTTCGGGCTTTCTCTGAGATTCTCCAGGCTTCACTCTTGGTTGTGAAAACTTGTGTAGTGTAGAAGCTCTGAATTCACTTTGTGTTCATCTGCTTTCGCTTTCTCATACATTAATCATGTATTCCTTTTGTTTTGCTTAATAATTCCAGAGGTGAT